AAACATTAAGAATTAGCGTTTGTTCTTTCGCGCAAACTTTGTCGGGCTCTGTAAAAGACCTGCGCTCGGGGACAACGGAGTGTGTCTCGCGCACAATCCCGAATCTCCCGGCGGAACGCACGTACCTTCCTGGGGTAAAATCTCGCGGGCAGGTGCAGGGGGTACCTCGAGGATTGGGAACTCCGGGGAGAAAAGAGGCGGGACTCGAAAGGTCGCAGCTAAGCAGATTACAACCTCAATAGTTGACGAACTACTCCGTTCAACCGACGAACCCGTACAATGGGGGCTGCTGTTAGGGGCGTCGACTTTTCCCCTTTCGCGCTGTCCCGTGGACGGGGTTTGAATAGTGTAGCAGAGGACCATTGAAGATCGTCCACTCGTCTCGTCGCCCATCGGCCGACGCGGCTCCTGCAGGGAGGATGAGCTTGTGGAGTAAGCACTAGGATTGTCGCGTCTCCACGGACATCACGTCGTCTGGTTTACGAGGGGAGTGAGAGGAGGAGGAGGAGTCGCGAGGTTTAGGTCTTTAGGTCGACACGCCTCGGGGGATACACAAGCGCTTTAGCCGGCTTCCAGATTTGCTTGCCCGACGAAGAAGTCAGGCTAGAGCGTGAATCACTGAGACATGTTTACCTAAGAACCCCTTCCTCCTCTCTCTGCAGTCGTAAACAGGGAGAGGTAACGTTCTCGAAGAAGCGCCAGTCAGGGGGCCGAAGTTGAACCGTTCACTTATTCCACAACCTTTTCCGATAAGGCGGGCCTGCGACGGAGCGGCGCGCTGGCGCTTTTTTTTGGTCGCGGCAGCCCATTCGTGGAGCCGCGCAGCGCGCTAGGGGCAATTGTGCCTGCGTGTGAAAAGGCACTTGCCCCCGTCGTGAATAATGGAGGGGCCGAGTGGGGACGGGCTTTGCCGAGGCTTGACCGCGATTGCTGCAGCCGAGAGCAGCAGCGGGCCCTCGGGGTTCCGTCCTTCCCCGGCCCGGACTTGAGGATTCACACCGATCCGGGTTTGGAGCGCGGGTAGGACCGAGAGTCACGGAGTCCCTCGGAGATCCTCCCCAGAAAGGAGGCGGCTCCCGTGGAACCCGTGCCGAATAATAAAAAAAAAGAAAAAAAATTTTTTTAGTTTTTTTACTTTGGTCAAGAGGGCAGACCAGCGGAGCTGTACAATGGAAAGTAATGGCCGGCCACAAGTTGGCAAGCCAGAGCGGAAAGGCTGCCGCCATCTATGAGCGACGGCGGCAACCAGATAGGTGGCTTGCCGCCGTCGCTCATAGATGGCGGTAGGTGTCCAGAGTTTGGTGTCTTCATTTCTTAGTTTTCCCAGGACACGATCCTGGGAAGCTAGTCCTTAACAGCTTCGCTGTAAAAATAAAAATGTCCGCGCGATCGCTTTTTGCAGCCCCTGTTCCGACGTCTTTCACCGCTCATTCACTGTCTCCCCACTTTGATCCTAGGGATACTTATAAGGCACATGAATTGTTTTCCCGAATGATCATGCATCTCCTTTTGTTCTCTGGGTGCAGCTAGAGTGCGGCGGCCTGTCGCGCACCCCTCCCAACTGCTCCCCTCGGCGGCTGTGCGGTGACGACGGGGGCGGCGACTTGAGCCCCGGCTGGAGCCCCCTGGCCCGGAAGCCCTCTGCGGGGGGCAGGGGCCCCTGCTGCTGCGGCGGCGGCCCCGGGCTGGACATTCCCCGGCGCCGGAGGGACAGCCTGGCCCCCGGCGGTGCCGCGCACCTGCAGGGCGTGCTCAGCTCTTCGTGCGCCGCTTCCTTCTGCAGCGGCGGAACCATGGGTGCAGGTATGGGCGCCTTCTTTAAGCCGCTCTCCCAAATACATCGTACAAAAGACAGTCTAAAGTCCAGTTCACACTCTTGCAGCCGAATACGACCGAGAGAGACGAGACTTGTTAAAACTTCTTAAAATTTCTTAAGACGAGAGAACGCAATGGCACGCCGGCGCCATCTATGCGGTGACCCTGGAACTGCATTTCACAGAAGCGAAGGTTTTGCGGGATTTCCGAGGTCGAATGTGCGTAATACTTATAAGAAAGGCTCGTTTATAACGTTGACAAAGGTTTTTCGAGCCAAGAAAGAAAGGATAGTGCGCGAGAGAAATAGAAAATATGCCGGACCGCCAAGTTTACACTGCTACTCAATAGATGGCGCCAGTGTGTCCTCTCGTTCTAAGAGGTTTCAAGGTACCCAGTTTTAAGAGGTCGCATGAGTGTGAACGGGCCTTTAAGCGCCGTTCACACATATGCAACCGAGTAAGACCGAGGGAGACCAGACCGGTTTTTACGCCTTTTGTGACTTCTTAGGACCTGCTCCGCTGCAGCGCATCCGGTCCTAAGACGGCGCAAGAGGTTTAAAAACCGGTCTGGTCTCCCTCAAACTTTGTGAACACACAGTCTTTAACTTCTTCCCCGAGCCATTAATGAATGGGATCATTCGCCGCGTCGCACGTTTTACTATCCAAGACTCATTTTTGATCGACTCAGAGGTGTACCTGTCAACATCCACTAAGGTATTAGCGAGTGTGTGTGATTTTCGTATTGCGTTCATTTGTACCACCAATTCCGAACCAGTAAATAAATAAGTAAAGCTGCAGGGAGCCAAAGTATGCGGGGGATGTGGTTAGGAAGCATCATAAACCCCGAGACTACACAAAGTATTGTGTTGTTTTATACTTCTTGTCTCGAGTATGATACCTGTCTGCTGACTTGTTTGAAACCTACACGCCTACGACGTTCCAAGAACATGCTCGCGGCGTAGCGAACCATGATGTATGTGGAGTGTGAATGCGGCTTTAGTGAAGTCTTTGTTACCAGTGTGGCAACTCCCTCTTTCGTCGTGGGAAATGGGAAGGCTGGGACCTAAAGTTGACGGGAAGGGAGCGACAGTCGTTCGAGGGTTGCTGCCTTGTTTCGTCTGGCTCATCGAAGGGGCGAGTTGCCTTATATACGAGAGCTTTCCCTATTGACCTTTGTCGTACATAGGAGAACAGAGCTGCAGCCTCCAGGGCCCGCAACGAACAATCAGAGGGGATTCTATGTGGCTCTGTGGCACTATGTTTTTGTTGTTTGTTTACGCATCTGGTTTATTTTCTGGTTTTCTCGCTGCCACTTGAGACTCCTCTGGGTTCATTTGGAGCCTTTGGGGAACGCGGGTTGCTCTGTGTAACCGACGCGACGAGCTGCTGCGTCTCCCCCGCAATCGACCAATCACGAATGTGCAACTGTGCCTCTCGATTCGAGATTGGTCGTACCCTGGAGCGGCTGGTCGCTGAGCCGTATAATTGCAGCGTGATCTGAACTCTGAACCGACGTTCGAGGTCCAGCGTGGCGCGGTTTGCTCTCGATGACGCGCCAATACGTAGGCCTCTCAGTGTTTCGTAAGACACTCGGCGGATTCAGCAACCGGGCTGTACTTTTGCGTTCCCCCCGCCTTCTTCGACGGTAGTGAAATAATTTAGAGGACGAGCAAAAGCATCGAGGTTCGGCTCCTCAGAGTGTCTCGGCATTGCGGGGAACGGGAGCTCGCGCTGCATTCGCACTTCTTGCCTGTCTGGCGGGATGATGTACCGTTGTGCATTCGGGGAGTCGGGCACGTGATGCGCGCTAAGGACCTCGGTGTGACACTGATGACCTCGAGGTGACACTCTGCAAAACTGCCGGGAAGCCGCTCCTGGGTGTTTCTTGCTCGCACCGCCTGAAACGTGCTGGAAGTATAGGCACCACACTTGTACGCTGTGTTGTGAATTTACGAGTTTTCTGGCGAGACATGGTCGCTTCTTTTAACGTAGTCGGAGCAATTTCACTCGATAATCAAGGAAATCCCCGAGGCCCCCCGAAATGGCGTGTCGGGCAGAAATGGGCCGACGCGTTCGGTGGCGGCAGACGAGTAGAGTATGACCGTCTCTTTTCTTCCCCCAGGGACGTCAGGGCAGTCGAACCTGGTCCGAATGCGGAGTTCCCCGATGGGGCAGTCGGCACCCAGCCTATCCCCGACCCTGGTGAGTGCACGGGGGTTCCGTTTCGGGGTCCGAAACCACGAACCGGCCTTCAGCCGGCCACGGAGCACGCGTGGCCGTTCTCCACGGCCTCGTCCACACGCCGCCCAACAACCTGCCGAGCGTGCTGTTGGCCTCTCTAGATATATGTGTATACAGCAGTGTCTGATTCGGACGTTCTTGGCCATTCAATCGGGCTGTTTGCGAGGAGGGCGCGTGCTACAAGCGGGAGAGTCGGTCCAACGTGCCTGTGTTGCCGCCGCACTCGATTCACAGCTTAAGAAAGCGGACGAGTCCCGCGGCTGCGATCTGTTTGCAGCCAAGAAGAGCGTTGTTTCTTAACTTGGCAGTGACCTTCTTTGCATGTTCTGAGGATCGTCGGAATACCTTATTTGCTTTCGTCGTTCGAATTGCAGCATGCGTGTCCTTCGCCACGCATGCTGGTCACGGGCTCGTCAATGGCCGCCCGCACGGCCACCACATAATACGCGTTGTACAACGTGCATTCCGTGGAAGCGTTACGGGAGCTTGCCGTCAGCACGCGCCGCGCGGAGAGCAGCGGGCCTCAACTTCCGTCTCTGGGTGGCTGCGGACGCGCGCGTCCCTTTGTTTACACTCTTGAGCGCGTGACGAACACGTCGTGCACGTCGCCGTTCTTCCGATCGATACCCCGGGCACTGCGTAGGGGGCTACATCCTGTGGCGGAGAAAGGTATAGTCTCCGCGAGATGCCCAAATGCGAAAGTATACGAAGCGTCTTATGTGCCGCGATGGCTCTTCTCGCGGTTTTCTAACAGTCGTGCCTCACCTCTCGCCGACAGTGCACTCTTTGCGGCATTCTTTTTTTGCCTTTGATTCGTTTGAGGCGTTGTTTTATTATTTATTCGCTGGCCTCTAGGTCCCGCTCCACGACCACCACCACCGCGGCGGTGGCATACCTGCGTGCGTGCCGCTTCGTGGTTTTCATGATCATTTTCGTTCTTTCCGCCGGATGGCGCGCTCTCCGGCGTTGTTGCCGGTTTTTGCCGGTCCGTCTGTTTTGGTTCCGCCCGTTGTTTACGGTCTAGTTTTTTTGTTGTTTTTGTTCTCGGCAATCTGGCCTCGTTTGTTGGCGGTTCGTCCGATATACGAGAGCGGGGAACGTCGTGTGTCTTCGCCGCATTCGTTCGAAACCCCGGGTCGAGCAAACAAAAGAAAGAAACGAACAAATTAAAACGTAAGGGCGGCCGAGTCGATGAAGGAAGGCCGTGTTCGCTCGGGCGGACGGCGCCGTGTATCTTCTGGGCTCTCGTATTCGTTCGGAGGAAAGAAATGATGCTCGCGCTCGAATGGATTACGCCAAAGGGGATGAGATATTGTGGATCTTGTCCTCCGCGCAGAATCTCCATTTTGCATTTTGTGCCCGCTCGCGGGATTTTCGAGTTCCCCCAATTTGTCGTCTGGTGCAGCTTCGAAGCGAGGTTTCTTTGAGATCTTTTTCCATCTTGATCCGTTAGAATAGCGTTGATGCATAACGAATCGGTTCGCCGTTCTGTCGGTTCCCCAAGTTCAGTGACGATTCCGTCGGTTTGAGACCCCCTTCCCGATGTCGTCGACAGTTGGCGCCTGAATACCAACGAAAAAACGCTGCTCGGAACTGTTGAGAGAGATCCGCCGACGGCTCGTTCGCGTTAACAGTGTCGCTGAATGTCTTGTAGAGGTCCCGCCGTAATATCAATCATCGTGATCATTTATTTATTTATTTATTTATTTATTTATTTATTTAGGGTTTGAGTGGACATTGTATAAGGCGGTGGGCACAGATATCCGAAAACAGCCGGCGCAACAACTGACTGCATTGCAGTTAGGCTTGTCAGAGAGGGTATAGCGGCTGCGGGAGTGTGGTCAAGTAGTGCGTTCCGGTCTTTTATTAAGGCGAAAGCCTTACGTCCTTGAGCGCGAACACGTCGCCGACGCGAAAGGTACCAAAACATTTACGTGTCTACTCAGTGGATGACTGAGCGAATTAAGGTGATGATCCAGCGCAATGAAAAGGATGACTCAGCACATTGAGAAGGGTGACTCAGCACATTAAGAGGGATGACCCAGCGAGTAAATCATGTCTGTCTGTCTTTAATGCGTCGGCGCTTGGGATTTTGCCCTCAAGTCGTCTTAGGGAGAACATGAGATATTTAGGAGAAATGTTCAGTCTTTCCCGTGAACTTAAGAGACCCTTATGAACTTTCGCCGACGCTAAAGACGGAGTGGGAATTACCGCCGCACCCTCAATTAAACGACGTTCGCCCGTGTCCGTCCTTCCTCCATTATGAGAAATCCGCGGCACTCTCAAAAGGCTTTTCTTTTTTTGTCTTTTGTCTGTTGTGTTTAGCGTGGGCGTAAAACGTGGGCGTGTTCGACTCAAAACTTAATACCAAAACAAAAAGACGCGAGGATTTCGAGGCGTTTATCGTATTACCGGAAATAATGTTTTTTTTTTATGTTTGTACGTTGCTCCGTTGGTTTATCGCTTTATCTTGAACATGTTCGTAATCAAATCATCTTGCTCTCGGTTTGCTCTCTATTTGTTCGTCGCGCTCCCCGCGTGTCCCCCCCGCGTGTGCACGCGTGTGCGTGAGTATGTGTCGCTTTCGTTGAGTATGTTTGTTGAGTACGTTCGTTGAGTATGTCCCTTTCGTTGGGTACCAACACCTGTCGCAAATCAGAAAGACAAGCCGGGGGGGGGTGGGGGGGGGGGATTTGTCTTTCCGATTTCCAACAGGCGTGTTGGTGAAGAAGACGCGCCGCCTTTGCGCCTTCTGTAATGTCCGTGTCCCACTAGAGCGACATACAGAAACAAAAGACAACGACAAGTCTCAAACCATGCACGCGAGGGTATCTTTGGCAGGCTTGGAATCCCTCGTGCTTACCTCACGAGCGCCGAACGACTAAACGCCTGCCAAAGGTACCATCGCGAGCATGCTGCATGTGTTTGTGGCTTGTCGCTGTCTTTTGTCGCTGTCTGTCGCTCTAGTGGGACACGGGCATAATTACGCATTGTGTCGTGCACCGTTCCCGTTTCTCTACGTGCCGTTGTTCCCTCGCGCGCAAACATTTTTTTTTTTTTCTGGGGGGGGGGGGGGGGAAGGGGGGGGGGGAAGGGGGGGGGGGCGGGCGTCTTCGGCGAGGACGTTCTGGTCCGCCTGCCGCGCACCGTCGGTAATTGCCTAATTTCGTAAAGAAAAGGAGGGAAGCTGGCCGATTTCCATTCCTGTCGCGCGACGAGAGCGCTGTTGTGTCGGTCGCCTTCTTGTTGTGTCGAAATCCCGAACGCTCCCCGAGTGCGCGCTCGTTTCGTAACCTAGCGGAGGCGGACTCGTATTGTTGCTTTTGTCCCATGTTGCTTCGACGGCTTCCGCAGCGGCGAACGGGTATTCGACGTATGTGTAAGCGCCGATTCTGGGCGCGTTACAGTCGTCTTCGTTCCTCATTGTGTGTCCTTCTCCTCGTGGTACTGCTGTTATCTTTGTGTTTATTTGAAGGATGCAGCGAAGTGGGGTGGTTACGTACACACACGGTTATGTAAGAGTGTCGGGCTCAGTAGCACTTCCTCGTGTTAGAGGCGATTGCATCAGTAAGAGTCGCGAAGGGAATACGATTTCGCCGGTTGTTTCTTTTTGTTCCGGGTTTTGCGGGCTTTTGGCTGCCAAACACCCCCGCCCCCGCCCCCCCCCCCCCCCCCCCCGCCCCCCCGCCCCCCCCCCCGGGGGTGAAGTAGGCAAAGGCAGTGATTGCGTGTTCCAAACTGTTTCGAAACGATCGCGAGAATCGGTGTAATTGACGCTCCTCCCGTTTCCAAAAAAAAAAGGGGGGGGGGGGGGGGGTTAGCGCAGGAATGTGTTTTTTCCCAAGTACCTTTCGTGTGAGGTTTTTACCCACCGGACTTTCTGGGTGTTTTTATGGGCACTGTTACCTGAGTCATAGCCTCCTGTATGAGGTTATAACTGCGTCTAATGTTCTTAGTCTACACCCTTAGTCTACACCCTTAGTCTACACCCTACTTCGGGGTTTCGATTATGGAATTACGATCTTTCCTAACCGCCTGAATACTTTCGCTTCTTGCAAATATGTTGTCTCCCGAGGAACCCCAGTTCCGGGTACCACTTTATTTTGACAGGTCTTTCTTGGGCTTTAACCATAGAGGAGGGGGGGGGGGGGGGGGAGGGGGGAGGGGAAGGGGGGGGGGGAGGGGGAGGTTGCCGGCGCTTTTTTCTGTCTGGCATCGGCCGACACCTCCAAGTGTGTGAGGGCGATCCTCCCGTGACGTTCCAGATGCGAGCCGCCGGGGAGGCGGAGAGTACGAAACGGCGTTTTATAAGGTCGGCGTTCCACAACGTGGCGCCATCTACGGTCGGCGCGAAGAGGTAGCGCGCTCGTGAACGTCCGCGTTGCGGCGGACGCGGGGCGCTGGCGGGGGAAGAACAGCTGCCGTCGCTTCCGGTCTTGCACCGTAAAGCAATCGTATGGCTTCGGGTCGCCCTCTCTCTGTCGGCGCGGAGAAGAGACGATTGGCCACGTGGACAAAAGCAGCTCGCTGGGCGTGCAGGAACGAGGGGTCTGCTGGCCTGGTCTCCAATTTGCGGCGGCTCCCCCCGCCTCCGGGCTCGCCTGTTTTTGACGCGGCGTCGGTGCTTTCTCCGGTCGCGACTGTTTTTGTTTGCCCGTGCAGTTGGCTCCCCGTCCGGATCGAATGGTGCCACCGCGTGGGCCGCGGCTGTTGCTCTGCGAATGTCGCTTCTCCGCCGAGCGCTCGTGCATGGCGGCGAAACAAACTCGGCCGCGGTTGGGCGCGCGCGCGCCCAACCGCGTTTTTGGCGTCTTTCGGCTCGAGGTCTCCGACGTACTCGTAGTCATTTGCCGTAGTCAGTTTTTGTACGCGACTGCGACTTGTTATCGCGTTGTCGTTTGGCTCGGATTTGGTTTTTCTACTCGTGGATAGCTTTCCGTGGCAGTCAAACGTGTGGGCGC